CTGGGAGCCACTTCACCTGCTGCCTCCTGGATAGCCAAGACCCATGAGGGGCGCTTTATGGGGTGCAGGCGTCCTTGTCTCATTCCCCCCACAAGAGGGCCGCAGGATGACGTAGCCTGTCCAGCCCGGACCCCTTCCAGCGCCCTCTCGGGCTTCAGGAGTGCAGACAGCCCCCAGCCGGGTGCTAGCCGGGCCTCACTGACCGCATGGCTCCCACGCGGGCCTCTGGGTCCTGTGAGCTTGGGCTAACAGTGCCCGCCCTGCCGACTGGCCCCTCCCTGGGTCCTAGGGTGCCCAGAGAGCGCTGAGCAAGCAAGGTGTGACAGGACAGCCGTTCTCTAGGCCACTGTCTCTCCCAGCAGCTTAGGCAGCTCTGTCTGCTCCTCTGTGCCCCCCTCCTATGTCCAACCCTGCCTGCCCCGGGACCCAGGCTTGGGACCACCCGTGCGGGGCTCAGCTGAGTGACAGGCCGGTGCCCGCAGGCCTGGCGGTGATGCACTCGCAGGGCAGCGATTACCTGGACATCGGCAACAACCCGCGGGTGGGCACCAAGCGGTACATGGCCCCGGAGGTGCTGGTGGAGCAGATCCGCACCGACTGCTTCGAGTCTTACAAGTGGACCGACATCTGGGCCTTTGGCCTGGTGCTGTGGGAGATCACCCGCCGGACCATCGTCAACGGTGAGGGCCCCACACGCGCAGGGGTGCGAGGCGGCTCGGGGACCAGGCCCAGTCACGCAGGAGACGAGGCGTCCTCTGACCTGGGGGGCTTGCGGCCAGACCTCGGGGTTCTCTTCCATGCCACACACCGGTTGGTGCAGTTGAGTGACCTTTATGGCTCCTCTGTGTCTGTGACTCCAGCTGTGGCATCTTGGGAAGGTGGTAATGACAGAAATGTTAATGGAAGCAACCTTGATGGAGCTGAAATACGTGCCAGGCCCTGCCACACACATGTTGTTTAGCCAACCTGTGTTGGCAGCCCCGTGTCTCACTGCGTGGTTAAGAGCACGCTGGAGTCTGACTGGCTCGGCTTAATGCCTAGGTTTTGCCCCTGACCACGGGCAGGCTTATCAAACGCTCTGTGCCTCAGTTTCCTCGGTGTAAAAGGAGAATAAAACAATGCCTAGTTGCTGAGACGATCCAAACAGCACCTGTAAACCTGAGTAGCAGCTCGCACAGTGCTGTCGCTCCTGTTACAGCTGGGCCATTGGCCAGTTGCCATGAAGGACCACGGTGCAGAATGACAGCTGGATAAAGGCCGTGTCAGGATCTGAAACGGGCAGTTTCTTCATCTCTGTGCTATCCACACCTCTCGGATCCTTGGTTTCCTCAGCAACAGGAAAAGCAGGCTATAGGAAAAGCCGGCCAGCACCGTGACTCGCTGAGGCTCGAGTGGGCAGGGGGCCACAGCGTGGTCCTGTGGCCGGCGCCCCAGCCTGGAGCGGTGACATTGGGTGGAGGCCTGCACTGGGCAGGTGGCCGGCTCTCCCTCTGGGGGCTTCCCGCAGGGGAAGCTGGGCGTCCCTCACAGGTTGGGGCCCACCAGCACAGGGCCCCAGGGACCCGCTGCCGGCAGGAAAGGGCGGCTGACCTGGCCAGCGGAGGGGAGGCTGGCTGGAGGCTCCTGGGGAGGGAGGCTCTGGGAGCCCCACACAGACCCACAGCGCATTATAAACACTGTAATCTGGTGTCAGCCCCGGCGCTGATTAAAGGCCCATGAGACACGCTCCGGCCCCTTGGCAGCACTGATTAAGGCTCACAGCACAGGGGCCGCCCTGGAACCCCGCCACGGGAGAGCGGCTGGGCGACTCTTCTGAGGTGCCAGCTGTGTGGCCCTGACCCCCAAGAAGCAGGAGCGTCAAGGGGCACTTCTTCTGAGTCTGGCCTCTCCTGCCCAAGCTGTCCTCAGCCCCGCAGGCATCCGTTTCAGAAGCTCCCGCTAGGGCCTGTATACTCCGGTCTGTGTGGGGAGGGGCTGCAGGCCGGAGGCGTCTGCAGAGGCCAGTGCCACCCCTCTGAGCGGGTGGGTGCTGTTCCCACCCCCTTTCTTGTTTTCTCCCCGTTGCCTTGTTTCACACCCTCAGCCAGCAGTCAGTCAGCTGCCCTCCCCTAGAGTGGCAGCGAGGCAGAAGTATGGGCTGTGGTCAGCCTCCCTGGGTTTAAACCCGAGCTCTGGCACTTAGCGCCTGTGTGATTTCAGACGAGTTCCTTAACTTTGCTGGCCTGAATTGCATTGCCCACAGCGGGATATGAATAGTATTATTTAACTCACAGCATTGTGAGGCCTGAATGCAGTGCACGTAGGACAACATCAGGCACGTAGCAGGTGCTCAATAAACTGAGTATCATGGGCCTGGAGCAGGACCTGGGCTCTGGGTGGGAGGCAGCTACGGAAAGGCTGGGACGAGATCTGGCCCAGCAATCCAGCGAGGTGAGTTTGACCGCCACTCCCAGCTGCTTCTCTAAGCGTCCGTTTCTTTAGCTGTACATGGGGGTAGGAACAGACCTGCCTCACAGGAATAACAGGGGACGCATGTGAAGTATTTTTAGCACAGTGCCTGGCACATAGTAACTTCTAGATAAATGGTAGTAATTATTATTAAAAATGTGTTTCCTATATGACAGCATCCCTCTCAGGCATTTGGTTTCGGGCCTCTGGGACAGAGAGTGGACAGAGGTCTTCCCCGGGTGGTCCTAGGCCTTCTGGGGACCTCCAGTGATGGGTGCTCCCTCCCCCATCCACGCCAGGCATCGTGGAGGATTACAGGCCACCCTTCTATGATGTGGTGCCCAATGACCCCAGCTTTGAGGACATGAAGAAGGTGGTGTGTATTGACCAGCAGACCCCCACCATCCCCAACCGTCTGGCTGCAGACCCGGTGAGCTTCCCCGGCTGGAGTGACATGGGTGGGGGTGTCTCAAGCTGGGATTTCTGGGTCCAGGACAGCCCCCGAGGGATCGATCCCAGGGTACTCCCTGGGCACCCCCTCACGCCCCTGGTGTGGACCCCCAGGGTCTCGTGGCTATTCTGGGATTCTCAGAAACCTCTGCTTTGTCTGAAAAGTCGGAAGCGCTGTGCTGTCTCTTACCAAGGACTTTTGTTGTTACTGCTGTTCATTTATCTTTGTTTTCTCTCCAAACATCCATGCACTTACATAAGACTCGCACGTGTGTATAAACTCACGGGCAAGCACATGCTTTGACATAAACACTCTCACGGAGGCCGCCACAAGTTCAGACACGACTCCTCCGCCCACCTTTCCATCTCCGGAGTGGTCCCAGTGCCTGGCACACAATAGGGGCTCCGTAAGTATTTACTGAAAGGAGAAATAAATACACACGTGGATACACGTCTATACGTGGACATTCTGCACTTAGATACAGAAGTCTCACACGCCCACGCCTGCGTGCACAGGCTCACGCCCCAGTTCTGCGGTGGAGGTGGGGCTGGCTCCCCTGAGGACCACCGAGCTTCCAGGGGTGCATTTCCCATGGACACTGGCGATTGCAGGCCAGCGCCCACTGTCCCGTCTCCCGCTGGTCCACTGGGCCAGCCAGCGTTGCTGGAGCTGGGAGGCGCTGCTCCTGCGTCAGATGGGGAGGCGAGAGCCCCAAGGCTTGCAGATCCCGTTCCTGGATCCCGTGGAGCTGGGGGTGGGAGTCAGTGTCTGCAGACTCCCTGGGGGTCTGGTTGCCCCCTCGGCCAGCCTGCCTCTCTGTCCCTTCCCAGCCATGCTCTTCCTTTCATATGCTGCCTTCTCCCTCTTGCCTCCTTCCCTCCCCCTCTTACCACTCCTGTCTTTCCTCTGCTCCTTTCCCGCCTCTCACCTCCTTCCTCTAGCCCTTTCCTGCCTGTCTCCCGCTGCTGGGCCACGCTGCACGCCCCTGACCCTGGCTCTGCTCCGTCCTGCCCTCAGGTCCTCTCAGGCTTGGCTCAGATGATGCGGGAGTGTTGGTACCCCAATCCCTCAGCACGCCTCACGGCACTGCGGATCAAGAAGACACTCCAGAAATTCAGCAACAGTCTCGAGAAGCGGAAAGTGATTCACTAGCCGCGGCCTGGGGCGGCTGCCTGCAGGGGCGGCGGCTGGAGCGTGGACGGTGGTGTGGGTGTGTGTCCTGGGGAGGGGGTACCCCTCTAGGGGTGGCTGTGCCTGCCCAGCTGGGCCCCTAGCCCATCTAGCCAAAAATACAGCTGGGCTGAAACCTGATCCCCTGGCTGTCTGGTCTGCTCCAAGCAGCAGGCTCCCTGACGCCGATTCCCCCCCACACACACACCCTGGGTGCACCCCCTCCCACTGTATCCTCACCAGCACATGATGCAGAAAAGGCCTCAGCCCCCAGGAAAAGCAGCCAGGGAATCCCAGGCCAACGCCCAAGCTTGGGCTCCACTTTACCCTCTGCCCTCAGCCAACCCCACGTCCCCACCAAGCTGCCAGAGTGGCACAGGGCCTGGTCTGGGCTTCGGCAGACACCCTGTCCTGCCAGGCCGAGCCTCTGGCACAAGCCACAGACACCCAGGACCCACCAGTTTCTTTCTGTGGGTTTGTATCTCGGTCCCATGACGCCTGGGGCCTCTGTCATCCAGACAAGATCCCAGCTAGTTGATGCCAGCTGCCTGGTCAGCCGGGCCCCACCCACATCCTAGCTGACTTATGCAGGCTTCACCCAGTGGTTCCTGCTGAGGGTGTGGCAGGGTCACAGGCCAGTGGACAGGCGGCAGGTAAGACAGGCCAGGACTCTCAAAGTCCTAAGACCAAGCATGACCAGGCAAAAGCTCAGTCAGGAAGCAGGAAGCCGCGTCTGGTCCTGGGGGCTTGATAGAAGGCAAAAGGAATGAGGCAGTCACTGTCCCTGGACCGTCTTTCTTTGCCTGCCTGTTGAAAGACTTGATCTTGATGTCCTTTGAGGTGCTTCAGCTCTCATTTTCCTCGAAGTTTCAGCCTGTGTCAGAGCTCAGCTGACCGTCACTCTGCTCTCTCTCCTAGCCCCTGGCAAGATGCCTCAAGATGGGGACTGGAAATTAACATTATCTGAAGCCGGGTCTGAAACACTCCTAGGCCAGCTCTACAAGCTCCGGCTCTTGGCTGACCCCCTCAGTGGTCATCCTTGGGTTAGACAGTCCTGGGCCTTCTCGCCAACGCAGTGACCGCCTCTGTGGCTTAGCCCCTGGTCTGGGCCCCAGAGAAGAACCTAGTGGCTCTAGGGAAACACACACAGTCTGGCACTGGGAAGCATTGCGGGTGAATGTGCACTCTGAGGCCGTTACCCTTGAGCCCTGGACAGCCAGATGGGTTGGAGGGGGTTGGTCAGGAGTGTGGGCCACAGAGCCAAGGTTGGAGGGAACTGGCCACCTAGCCACCAGCCCGGCGGATAGGAACCGCCACGGGAGATGAAGAAAGCACAGCCTCCTCCCCTCCTGCATAAATGACCCAGCACAACCTCGGGCAGGCAGGCTTCTCGAATGTTTCTTGCACTGTCTCTGGCCCTTTCCCAGGCCTGCTCCCAGCGTTGTGCAATAGGAGAACCAGGAAGCGAAACTGGGTGACATGGGAGAGCTGCACCGACCTGCTGCCTGCCCAGTCACCATTCTGCTTCCTGGCAGAATGTCGTGTTTGTGTGTGTGTGTGTGTGTGTGTGTGTGGTCACTCGAGCTGTGGTCACACGGCCCAGCAGCCCATGTCCAGTGGACTACAGAGCAAAGTCTCCTGAGAGGCCAAGTCAGCTATGGAGGCAGCAGCTCCCTGGGGCTGGAAAACCCCTGGGAGGAGGAGTGAGGCAGAGTAACTGGGGGAGGCCCAGTGAAGGGAGCCAGGGGCCCCGAGGGAGGGAGGGAGGCAGTGGGGAGAGCAGGCTGGTGCAGGCGGGTTATGTAAGGCTGAAATCCCACTTCTCTTACTGCAATGCTGTTTGTGGGAGCATTTAGCACGTGCTTGGCACATCGTAGGTCCTCAATAAACCAAGGAACCCAGAGCTCTTGCTGAGTCTTTCCAGGCCCATAACAAGGGGGCTGGGAAGGAAAGGGTCCCCAAGTCTCCATGCCCGGGCTCTCCCTTTAATAGGTAATTCACAGCCCCTGCAGGCTCCTGCTTGAACACCCTCGCCCTCGTCCCCCATCACCTTGGGCCGAGCCTGGTCGAGGCGCCGGCTCTAGCGCCCTCTGCTGGCTGGTGGTCGGCACAGCGGCCGTCGCCCCGCCCCGCCCCTACGCAGGGACCCCAGGGCCTTTCCCCGAGGGTGGGGATCTCCGCCCCCGCCGGTGCGCGATGAGTGTGTGCAGTCTCCTGCAGGTTTTGTGGGGACGGTCCCCCGGAAACCCCAGCTAGAAAGGATCTTTCTGTGTCCTCACGCAAGGTAGCTCGGATCCGCCAGCTGGCAACCCCCAAAAAGGATCCCACCTTGCCTGGGGCCAGTGTCGGTCCCTGGGTGGGAAGGGCATCCTCCTCCCGGCAGACCCTCTTAGGCCACGGGGCCTTCTCCACGCCCGCCCCCCCAGAAATTGTGGGGCGGGGCCTGCCATGGAGCAACCGGGCTTGTCAGCCTAGGAAATCTGTACCTTTGCATTCGAGGCTGGAGGTGGGGGACCCAGGCGAGAGAGGCCACCCTCACCTGCAGGATCTCTTCTATCCCCGCAGCCCCTAAGCTGACTTCACCCTGGAGCCTCCTATCCGGTCCTGGTGTCTCTGAACCTCCCCGCCACCCCCCACCCCAGCTGAAAGGGCCCCCCTTCCCCAGAGGACCTCCTAAGCAAGGTTGAGGAAACTGAGCGTGCACCTTCCTGGCACACCACAAAGAGCAGCCTTTGCCCTCCCCCACCCCGGGCCTTACCCCAGGTTCTGGCACTATGGTTAGAGAGCTAGAGAGCAGGGGAGCAGGACTGAGGAAAATCGCACAGGAGTTACAAGAAGCCGGGGGGTGGGGGGCCTTGGGTATGGACACCTGCCTCATTGCTCTCCAGGAATAGGACAACCTTGTGGAGGCCACTGAACCCAAGCTGGGTCTCCACACAGCACCCCAGGGGAGCCTGGCATTGAAGGAAGAAAACCCACTGCCTTTACAGCTGTGCTTTTCTAGGGAACCCCAGGCTGTAGCCTCCTTACCTGTGCAAGGAGGGAGAGGAAGGTGTGGAGGTGGTACAGGGTCCCAAGGAGGTGAAGGTGACCCCTGCAACAGGAGCTTGGATGCTGAGGCTCATCCCTCCCCTGCCAAGGCCTCGGGGTACCCCAGGACAGTGCTCTCTGCACCCCGACACCACTACAGCCTGCATGGAGGGTGCACTGCCTCTTCTGAGGCCTCACTTGGCATTAGATGAACAGACTGAGAGCTGGCCAAGTCCTCGTGCCTCAAAGACTCAGTCCTGGGGATGCCGTGAAGGGCTGCTTGTCCTGGGTCCAGTCTCCTGGGACAGGGACTGACGCTAACTGTGCAGTTGTCATGCTGGGTGGGCGAGTCTTGGAACCAGGGCCACATTCACTTTGCTAGAAATAGAGACAGAGGACTTCTTGACTTTGCATATGATTTGCATAATGCCATAGACACACAGTCTATTTTCAGGCAGTTTTCAGGTTAAAGTGTTGTCACTGCTGCCCTGCGGGGTGTCACGTCTGGATGAGTCTCTGTTCTTTCTCACCCACCCACTCTTACTGACCTAGATCACCCACTGTAGGATCGGGCGAGGGGAGGGGGTTGTCCAGGGAGACCCGGGGCAGGGCTAGAGGCACCCTGGAATGTCCTTTCATGCTGCCACCACCAGGAGCGGAGTGTGGCAGCTCACTAACAGGCGAGGGGCAGTAAGCATGGTGGCCCAGAGCTGGCTCCAGCCTCTCCGACCAGAACAGCCAGTTCCCCTCGCCCTCTTCAGTCCTGTGCCAATTTGAAGAGAGATGTCTAGATAAACCTGCTCCTTTCGGCCACTGATAAAGCCTGGTGTGGCCAGATAGCCCTTCTTGGACATTCATGTCCAGTAGGAAGATTTGACCTTAGTCTCCAGAGAGCTCTGACTTTCAGGCTGTTCCTCCTGGGAGCCCCAGTGGGGAGCCCAGTATTGAAGTCTGATGACCGAGATTTTTCAAACAACTGGCACATCGTCGTCAGCCCATCTGCCCCTTGCTCTCATTCACCCAGAAGCCTTCACCAGGCACCTGAGTGTGCCAGCCTGAATGCCTGGCACAGGCACCACTCCACTCTCAGAGGTCACAGAAGGAAAACACTAGAGGTGTGAGCGGTTGCGGTGACAGCCACGAAGTCATCCATGACCTCGGGGGTTACTTGGCCAGAAAGGAGGGGTTCGGAGCCAAGGACGATTCTCCTTTGGTAGCTGGAGCTGTTTGGTGGCCTGGGCTCCCTCCTGCAGACCCCTCCGGCCTCCGGGCCGTCTGGCCTGCTGTCTTCCACAGAGCCAAGAGTTCGCCAGATGATTCAGCAAAGCCGCCGGGAAGCCTGGTGGTGCTCGGAATCACGAGGCTGTCAGCGGGACTGGACAGCAGCCGTGTGCTGCCCAGAATTCCCGGCCCCTGGCGTGCAGTCCCCCTGGACCTACCTCATCCCCTTACACAGGCGTTTCCTGTTGATAAGAAGCTCGGTCACAAACACTGATAAAGAGATGTAGAAAGGAAATTGGCGGGCTTGGGCATTCTGTCTGCCTTCTCTGCCCTCTCCCTTCTCCCAGCACCTTCCCCCGCTGCTTCCCAGAACGGGGAAGAAAACATGTTCCCACCTTTGTAGGGCCGATTTTGCTGTTTCCAGGAATTTAGTCTCCCTTGGGAGCAGGGCCTCCCTTGACCTGGGTGAGGGGACAGGAACTCAGAGGCAGGCGGCCTCCAGGCCAAGGGGAAAGCGGGAAGACAGGACAGCCGGCTGGGGCAGAGGGCCCTGCAGAGACCCCTGGTCCTGCACCCTCTCCCCAGGGGTCTGGATCCCGCTTGGCCGGGGACTGCGTGCTCTCTAATGAGTGGGTTTTCCCATGACTGTAGTCTCAGGCTCATTGCTGGGAAATTTCATTATTTGGGCACTATTAGTTTGGAACCTATGGTTCTTCTGGACAATCAGCGCGGCTGATGTTGAAAAATAAACGCTGCAAACTAGTGTGAGGCTTCCGGCCGCCTAGCTCAGATCTGCATTTGTAAGCTCTGCTCCCAGAAGGCAAGTTTTCTCAACGTTAAGCTCACCGGCCATCAGGTGGGTGGTGAGACTGGATGGCCATTGCTCACAAAGGTGTTCTAGAGATTTCTATTTGGTCATGCTTTTTCTCTCTTCCCCAGAGGCAGGGTTGCTTGTGAAAGTTTGGCAGCCAGAAAGGAGTGAACAGGTGGTTCTAACTGGCCAATGTTTAATGAAAGAGGCCACTGGAGACCTCCTCCTGAACTCTAAACTGTCTCCCGTCCCAGGTACCCCTGGCCAGAGTCTTCTCCTGGCTTCAGACCTCACAGATTTTATTGACCCCTGGTGGAAGAAGCAGCGTAAGGAACGCAAAGCGTTTAGTTCTGTCAAAAATTCAGTGGAGGGCCTCTCTGGTGGCGCAAAGGGTTAAGTCACAGCCCTGTAAAGCTATCTGCAGCCACTGCAGCCTGAGTTCAACCAGGGAGTGACCCACATGGTGCAGCAGGCATCTCCTGTCTCCCCACTGCTCCCCTCAGGAGCGTATTTCAGTAGATATGCCTGTTCTGCTCCCCACTGTGTCTCTGGTGAATCCTTTCCCTGCACCTCTGGCCTGCACCCCAGTTCTTGTATGCGTAAATAAATAAATCTTTTTTTTTATTTTAATATTGATTGTGATGACGGTTGCACAGCTCTGAATATATTAAAAGCAATTGAATGATAGACTTTAAATGGTGAATTATATGGTATATGAATCCTATCTTAATAGAGCTGTTTAAATATCGATGAGGAAAGGCTGTACTGTTTAGGTGGTGCTAGGAACCCTGGCTCCCTGGAGGAAAAATGCAGTTGGATTCTTACCTAGCATATGTACGCAGATGAACTTCATATGGATTAAGAATCAAAATGGGAAAGGTAAAACTATCAGCCAAATAAAATATAAGAGAACACTCTGTGGTTTAGGGGTGGAGAAAGACGTAAACAAGACACTTAAACACAAACCATAAAACAAAAAATAGGATGGATATAAAAATATCAGCCCTTCAAGCATAGGCCATACATAAATTTAACATTAATAACTTAATCAGATTAATAATAGATGATAAACTGAAAGGAGGTACTTACAATCCCTAAAGCTCTCCAGACTTCCATACTTACAGACAAGAGAAAGTCTTGCAAATCAGCAAGACCCAATGGAAAAATGGGCAAAGAGATTAGTAAATTCACAGAAAAGGAAGCCCAGGCAGCTGACACTCACAGAGAGGAATTCTCCAGCTCCCTTGGGCTCCAAGACGGGCAGATTTAAATGATGTGCCCATTAACCTCCATTGAAGTTACAAGCTGAAGGGTGAGAAACACCCAAGGGCTGGCAAGGATGCGGGGAAGTAGGGGTGCAGACGCAGTTCTTGTCAAAATCTGAGCTGGGGGCCCTGGTGGCGCAAAGATTAAGCACAGCACTGCAAGGTAGCCGCAGCCGCTTCGGTGCGAGTTCGATCCCCAGCCCCGGAGGTGACCCACATGGAGCAGCAGACCTCTCCTGACCCGCCCGCTGCTCCCCTCAGCAGTGTGCTTCGTCAGTCGGCCTGTTCTGCTCCCCACTCTGTCTCTGGTGAATCCTCTCATCCCCTGCACCTCTGGCCTGTGCCCCAGTTCTGTATGCATAAATAAATAAATCTTTAAAAAAAAAGAAAAGTCTAAGCCAAGAATCCTTTCTAACATCGCTTGCTGGTGAGCTGTGCGCAAAGATGCATTTCCTGTCCGTACCACCGGACCTCGTGGGACTGACGTTGTTTTTTGGAGATGAGTTTGGAGTGTGGCGTCCTTGGGGTCACTCTAGGAAAGCTTTCCCCAGAGCCTTTCAGCGAGTTCC